ATATTAACAATAATGATAGTGACAATCATAATAATAATAATAATAATAATAATAATACTAATCATCATAGACATGGATATAGAGCAAAGGTGGGAAAATTTCATTGATTCAATGAATTGGTATGGTGTTTTGTTTTGTTTTTTTTTCATTTGACATAAATAGTCTGTGGTTGTGTTGATTGTTACCTTTGCTTTTCGGTCTTTTTTTTTGTTTCTTTGATAAATTAAAATCAGTCATGTGATAGATTAATTTTAAATTTGAGGGTGGTGGTGGTGGTGGAAACAACATTTACTTATGACTGTTATACCTTGTAGAGGAGGAGAAGATCAACTATAAGTATTCTTCATTCAACTGTATCTTGGATAATTGTTCCAAATTATTTCCAGTTGTTATTTATCTTTTTTTATATCTGTTTCCAATTTCCGATGTAGTGTGTGTTTATTGATTTGCCTCTCTTCCGTTTCGTTTTAAGACTCCTAGTTAGGGCTTACCTCATGATACAGTTTGGTGATTTCCTGATTGTATGTTCTATCCACTTCTAGAGTATTTTCTTAATTTCCTCTTCAGCTGGAAGCTGGTTTGTTCTCTTCCACAGTAGGTTATTGCTGATAGTATCCGATCAACGGACATTGAGACATTTGCTTATAAATACATGTACTTTTTTGATAATGGTTGTGATAGTTCTCCAAGATTCAGCTGCACTCAGTAGAACTGTCTTGACGTATGTACTGAAGATTATAATTTGGATGTTGGCTTTCAGACAGTTATTTTGAGTCCCATATGTTCTTCAATTTTAGAAATGCGTTCTTTGCTTTGTCAATCTTCGCCTTTACGCCTACATTCGATCTTCATTGTTCATCGAAGTTGCAGCCCAGGTACGTGAAAGATTTCACATCTTCTAGAGTTTCTGCTTCAAGTGAGATTAAGTTAGTGCTCTCCGTGTTGTGTTTGAGGATCTTATTTTTTCCTTTGTGTATGTTGAGGTCTACTGAAGTAGAGGCTTCTGATACACTAGTTGTCCTCATCTGCATTTATTGGTGTGTATGGGATGGAAGAGCCAGGTCATCTATAAAGTCCAAACCATCTAATTGATTCCAAGCTTTCCACTGTATTCCGTGCTTTCCTTCACATGTGGAGGTCTTCATAATACAGTAGACCACTAGAAGAAAGAGGGAGCGGGAAAGTAAACAGCGTTGTCTGACTCCGGACCTCACTTGGAATGCACCTGTGATAAACTAGATAATGATTTTATTTTTGATAGTTGACGGTGATTGACGAGGATTTCTATTCGACTCAATGATACCCTGATAGTCAACATTGGTCAAAAACTGTGTATACTTTAAGTCTTGATGGAATTAACGCTCATAGTAAAATGTGGACCGATAAAGTATAGAGTTATTGTCAACTACGTTATCAGTGAGCTGTTCTATAGGATGAATAGAATATAAGTTGTCTGGTAGTTAAGACTTATCGGACTCGGATATACTGTGATATACTTTTTTGGCCTAGAAGCTACATTCAACTGTATTGGTCGGTAATTAAAATACTGTACATATCACTGAAAGGTACACCAAATAATATCGAATTATGTCGACTTATTCAAGACTATTTATTAGAACACGATTGAATCGTTCAGAATTTACCGAAGGACTATCATTCGATATGATCAATGCAAGCAGTGCTAATAAAAGATACCACTTTCTTTGTATGACCTTTCAGGGACTCATTTTATACTAAGATATTCACTTGTTAACCAGAGGTACTTAGATTTGATACGATATTCAATGCTAAGTCTTCGGAAATCTTTGATTAGTAATCTTCACATATTTTGGATACTTTCCTTTCTTTAAGATATATGTTCTAGAGTTCTAGTTGGAAGCAGTGACCAGTAGAGTTCAACCAGGTCTGTTGTGAGATATCAACTGACTGAACACAATTGGTGAAAGGTTGCTCAAACTCCGTGGATTGGTTGAAATTAGACAGTAACACCGTTGGATACCGGCCGGCTCAGTTGTCTAGTGGTTAAGTGCTGGAGCGCGAGACTGGTAGGTCCTGGTTCGAATCTCGTGAGTGCGGGATCGTGGATGCGCGCTGCTGAGGAGTCCCATAATATGACGATTTGACCGTCCAGTACTTCCAGGTTTTCCATGATGGTCTAGCTTCAATTGACTCATGATTTTAACTATGAAAATACTTTCCTTTCCATTGAAATGCAAAATGATACTCTAAAATTGGCTTGCATCATAACTATAATTGACCACACAGTGTGAATTAGTTGAAGAATTTGACATTTTAATCCATCTCCTAAGTTTCATCCTCCGTGATGAGTAAGTTGTTGATGAGATCTTAGAATAACTACTAAAAATTGACCTACTTTCACAAACTTGCATCATATTTGATGTAGGTAAGATCCTTATCTCTTTATCAACGGCCAAGTACACTGTTCAGTATGACATTGTGTAACGTATCACATAAAATTAGAACCGTCAATAGACAGTAACTATATGCTTATAGGTATCTTTGATGACTTATTTACATATGGTAAAATCACTGACTAAGTAGTTTATTATTTATTTATTTAAACACATAAATATTGGTTCAAAGAGGTAACAGATACATATGCGCCACACAAATCTCATTTGATTTGTGTGAGGGCTGTGATAGTGCTCAGGTGCCCAAACTCAATGAGGTGGTTTTCTTAAGGGGCCACAACCGGAGCCTCTGACCGAAAGATCTGATCCACAAAGTAGTGGAGCATCGTGAGGAGATGCAGTTCCGTGGTAGCCAGTGACCAACGAATGATTCATACACCATTTGTTTCCTGAGGATACTGCAGCCCGTATGGACCATTGGTTTGGAATCAAGGTTTTCCAACTCCCCTAGGTGGATTTTTTATGTCCACCAACCTGGTTAAAGCACCAGACATTCGCTTTTCGTCCTCTCAATTTAAATTGATTAATGTGACTAATATATATCCTATGAAACGTGTTAATTTCCACTTTCCATTGACTGCTGCTGGTTAGCGTTTTTTTAGCTAGTCGGTTTTCTACGGGATGGTGTCGATAACTCCATGCCCAATCCTCCTCCTTTACCCAGGTTTGGGACAGGCAATAGCCCCCGGAGGAGTTACAGGTGGATTAAGCACACTTTGAGGAAATCACCCAATTGCGTCACAAGACAAACCCTCACATGGAATCTTGAACATCAAAGGAAAAGAGAAAGATCAAACAACACATTACGCTGAGAAATAGGGACAGATATGAGAAGAATAAACAAAAACTGGATAGAACTAGAAAAGAATGCCCAGGACAGAGTGGGTTGGAGAATACTGGTCGGCGACCTATACTCCATTGGGGGTAACAGGCGTAAGTAATTAGTAAAGTAAATTGACTGCTACTCTTGTAATATAAACAACTCCTTAAAAGTACTTTGACATTGTTAAAAATATCTTTAATAGTGACTATGTAATTACATACGTAAATAAACTTTTATCAATTCATTGATAAGATCATTGACCCTTTTCTTCTCAAAGATGTAATTAAAATGATCAAATAACAATCAAGTATCATTACATAATTTTCATATATTACGTAATAGTTCATTTCAATATGAACTTCAATAGAAGAAGTTAGTTGTAGTTGACTGACTTAATAGAGGAAACATGTTCTTCAACTATATTGCTAATTAGAGAAGGCGTTACCAGGTGAATGAGTGAATGAATGTTTCATTGTTTAGTTATCAATTCTTCATACTTATTTATCCTTATTATTATTATTTCTGATGCTTAAAAACTGACATTGACAATTTGATGGATTCACACTTTCATATTGAATTAAAATGATCTTTCATTGCTTATTTAAATATCTGGGTAAGAAATCACAAACAAAGTAGTGGATGGTCATTTCATCCAATCAATGGGATTGAAGTATGTAAGACGTGATGAAGGTACCTACCGAACACAGTGGAAGATATTCAATTGGTGTTGTATACTTATATCTTCCACATTGTTATTTAGGACTGCAATTGATCAGTCTCTTGTTGACATATGTGGATCCTGTGAGGACGGCCTCGATATTGCCTGAATTCACAAGCTTTATAAGCAAAGATGGATAGTGGCTAACTCCGCCTGTAGCTCTTCTGGGGGCTACTGCTGGTCTCAGACCCACCAAAAGGAGGAAGGTTGGGCATGAGGTTAGCGACCCCATCCTGTAGAAAACCAACTCGCTAAAAGTACGCTAACCAGAAAAAAATATTCAAACCATTTAAACACTGCCCTGGGTGTTGAAGGAATAGTTATGACGTCTCATGATGAAAGCCGAGTTCCTTCGGAAGTTATGAGGACGATGCACCCTCTAACAACCAGAGCGACGATTTTTATAAGTAAATGGAACGTCCGGACAATGTGGAAGATCGGAAGAGTTTTCCAAATTGCTGCTGAATATAGTAGAATCCAGTTTGACGCGCGCTTCATCCTATTCAGGACTGGTCAGCTGGGCATACCTGCATCTCAGAGTTGATGTTCAATCCGGGACTCGAATCCAGTACCTTTCGCTTCAAACGCCATCCCGTTATCCACTCACCTACTGAGTCCTGATAGCCACCTGCTTGTGGAAGATATTTGCGCAATTACGTTGACTGACCGAAGTTAGAAGATTACACAATCGGGTTGTGGCTAAATTATCTGCAGGTTAAGAGTTCACAACTAAGGCCTTTGGTTTTGACTTGGATTTTTAGATGTGAGGTTGTGGATTAGCACTGCGGATGAGTTACATACTAGGAAAACTTGGCCGTCCAACTCTCCCGGGTTATCAATGGTGGTCTAACTTCGATCTGCTCATGATTTCAATTGAATTCAATATTCACCACTACCCCATACTGTTTGCTTATTTATTTTTATTTCTAAAAAAACCTTATAACTTTATATCACTATAAAAACTCAAATATGGGTGAAGGTACCACCAGTATCGTAGTGTGACAACACTTTACCAGTAACACCTTCTATAATCGAATCGCGCCCACCCAGTTGAAATCAAAAGTACGAAGCGAGGAGGTTGGAAGATATATTTGATGGGTATCTTGAAGTCAGTCACTAGTGAACATATGATTATAATCAGAAGGGGATTTGTGGAGATTTCAGTATTTTTCAAAGTTGAAACTGTTAGTCAATTGAAGCTAGACCACCATCGAAAACCTGGAAGCAATGCTTTAAGGCCGTTTCGTCCTATTATGGGACTCCTCAGCAGTGCGCATCCACGATCCCGCACTCGCAAGATTCGAACCCAGGACCTATCAGTCTCGAGCCAAAGCCCTTACCCTAGTTCAAGCAGGTCTATTGTGAGATAGCAACTCATTGAAGGCAATAGGAGAATGGTCGCTTATAATTCGCGGATCGGTTGAAGTTAGACATTAACATCGTTGGACGACGGCTCAATGGTCTATCGGTTAAGGGCTCTGGATCGAGACTGGTAGGTCCTGGGTTCGAATCTCGCGGGTGTG